TGTCGGTTTTCATTGAAACCGACCTATACACTGTAGCGTACCCGATTTTAGACGAGTTTGATGCGTTGGACAGGTCATAGGGGATAACGTTTCTGAAAACGTCGATATTTCGTCCTTTATGCTGGATGGGCATGATGATGTCGAGGTAAAACGGGTAAAATCGTCGAGTGATATTAAAAAAAGAGAAATGTTATTTCTTTTTAGTATCGGGCTTGTTGCAGAGAATATCGAATTATCTATCGGTTAGTGATTTATATCGATCTAGATTTATTGGATACGTCTTAAAATCAATATCAAATACGTTTATCATCCGAGAGTTCACTCGAATCTTTTTCTTAATTCTCGAGATCGGATTTAATAACGAACCAAATCAAATAAATCCGATTCACTCACAGGAATACGGTTACACTTGTTGAAAGCTCTTGAACTTTTCTCTTTCATTTTTCAATTGGCGAAGAGAATTCGTGCGTACGATTTTCTTTTAACATTATCCCGTTATCCCAATTATTTAACATTACTAATAAAATAATACTCGAAGGCTATTCTTCGAGGGAATTTCAAATAAATTCGTAACAGATCTGTTCGATTTACAAACAATTGATTTACAAACAATAAAATTCTTGATCGAGTATCATTGAACTCCGCTATTGAAACGATTGAAATGAATTGACGAGGGCGCGTTCGCAAATCGATCGAGAACTTTCGCTTTCGAAAGATCACCGGCTTCGCAACGAGACCGGTTTCTTTATTTAATCGAATCGATCGAGGCACGAGTTAAAGGCCAGTCGATCCCATCGCTCGTTGGACCGACGATCGATCCGCGACGACGAAGCACCGGGGGTTTGCACAGGTATGCATTTACCGCGAACCGGATGACTCCGAAATTTCTTCCGCCGGTAACAGGAGGCTTCCTAACGCTATTAGAACGTTAGCCGCGCGCCGGTAATGCCGCGGTTGTTCTAGAAAATCGACCTGTCACGGGAGGAGGGGTGTCCAACCCTCTCTGCGCGCCAATCCTCCATTAATATTCCACGCCAGTTTCCTGCTCGATTTCGTTGATCCCTGTTATTTACGATCGGATCGATCGTGTTTCCCTCTCGATACGTCCATCTTACGTTCCCCTCCGCGTTACATTCTGATAAATTGTCGTTGGAGATGGCTGTTTTTCGGCATGTGATTGTATCGATTTTTATTTGTCGAAACGCAGTGAAGAGAATTCATTTTTTTTCGGCTTTCCTTTCTGGATGGAGTGCGATTAAAGTCGTAAATTTTGGAAAATTGGATCGGTGTGGATGAAATGGCGCTTTTTCCTTCGGATCGACCATTTTGATCGTGTTTTAAATTAATCTTGCTTCGATATTTTAAAATTAACATTGAGTAGGTTGAAAGATTCTCATTGTATCAAAAAATCGAGACTTCGATTTCGATATTTCATCCTTTCCACAAATTTTCAATTTATTAATTTCGATTTTCATTCCTGAAATTTCGATCTCGAACGAGTCTCGACATTAAAATTTTGATCGTCAATTTGCTGGAGATGGATTTGAATAAAGGGGCCTTCAATATTCCAATACCATCGACGTTAATATACAATGGACATCGATAATACGTTGAGTCAATTTCCAAAGTGATTGTAAATGATTGTAAATCGTACACGGTGCATGCGAGATCTTAACTCTTGCGAACTTCTTACTTGCTTTGCACTTAAGCAGCAAAAAAAGGAATTGCCACCTTTTTCTGCTTATCGTTTGTTCGCAGCCACGAACATTTTTCGCCATCTCGTTCGCTTCGTAATAAAAACTAGTTATGGTATCGCGTTATGTACACAATCGTTACCTGTAATTTTCTTTTCAACCGTATTAATCTCGATTTTGAACGATGCAAAATTACGTTTAATTTAATCGAATAAACGAATGAACGTATTTGTTTCGGGTGAAATTAATCTCGTTACTATTTGATGAAAAATAAATATTTTCCTGCGAGTTATAAAAATTTTGATTCTGAAAAGATTAGTTTTAATGGAAAGGGGATAAGAATCGTGTCAAATAACACGTTCATTGTATTAAAAATAATTGTAAAAATCTCGGCTTTGTATATTATCACATAATATAGTAAAAGAATGAAAATACGCAATTAGAAAACTGTAAACTGCTGATATAAAATTATTGAAAAATATTATGACAGTGTACAAGAGTCGGCGAGTTTATCGTGTCGCTGATTTATATCATTTGCAAATCATCATCGATTACTTTCATAATTGTTTAATGCCAATTTTAACGTTTTTACGTGGAATAACCGTGAAACGGTTATTCGATGGAGGGAATGTTAATTCAATATTCCGGAGAGCGTCACATGTCGAAAGTTTTGATGTTCTCTATAATGTATGTCCGTCATAAAATATGAAACCTAATAGAAATACGAGGATATATCTTATAAAAGGGTAAAGCGAGCCTGTGCACAAGATATTCAAATAGAAACATTTAATGCGTTATTATAAAATATTATTCCGATATATTATATTTTTCGTGCGATTCGTCGTTGCATACACCGAAAACGATATATTTCGAAATTCGATATCCTCCATTACGTATTCGATCATAAAACATGAGGCGTAATAGAAATAAGGCAATACGTCATAAAAGTTGAAAAGAAGAGGGAGGGAGTTCGAATAAAACGAAAACGTGACTCCGGATCGTATTCCTTTTTTATATAATTCTCTTCTTCTATCGCACGTGGGACAAAATTTAAAAAAACGCGTACATTCCAACATTTTGTTCAACGTTGTTTTTAACTTTTGACACGATTGTATCCGCATATTTGATTTAACTTTAACCATTCGAAACTTTAGTCCCCGTTAATAATAAAAATTTCATTAAAAGTATTCCTCGTATCTATTAAAAGAAATTTATTTATAAAATTTATCGATAAATTTTGTATACCACTGTGAAATGATATCCCGTTTAATTTTCAATAATAATTTCCAAACCTTCCCCTGTTGCACAAATAAATATCGTGTTTCATCGAGGAAAATAAGGTAGCAGATATCCTAGGCAAACTTTCACAAAACTATAAAATATTTGTAGGTAGATTAATATTTTAATTACGAAATTTTAATTATTTCGAATGAAAAATATCCCGTAGAAAAATATTCGGAGAACAACGAAACAACGGTTCAATACAGAAATTACGAAATATTGGATTTTTCGTTGAAAATACAATGTTCTCGCGTTTCTCAAAAATACAAACGCGATACTGCCTCTAAACGACATTCGATTCTCCACGCCAACTAAACATTACACTTCCACTCTATTTCCCCTTTAACCTATCCTTCTCCACATTTTTTTGTTTCACCCCTTTCCTCCCATACTTTATTCCCTTTGTTTGCAATTTGTTTTCGCAACCCTTCTTTCTCCCTCCGATTATATCAATGTTCTCAACATTTCTCAACATCCAAAACTTTCGGGGAACACGTCGAAGCCAGAAAAACTGGTTATATTATCTCGCAAAAGTGGAAACTGCGGGCCGGAAGTTAGCATGCCCCTTGTTCGAGGAAACCAACTATGGTAGAACTGTATAAGATTGGCCGTGAGGGAGGGTAATGCAGCGGGGGAGGGCGTGTAAATCGCTGCTGACGAGTGGGCGGGTTTGCATGAGGCGTGACGACACGAACGAGAGGGGAAACTTTCAAATTTCTTCCGGCGATAATGGCCGGTTTCCTGGTCGGGATTATGACATCGCCACTCCGTCTATACACAGTTTCGCCGGGTATCACGCGCAGATTTTATCGAGGGACGATCGTGAACGCGATAAAACGCGAATAATTTCGAATTCCACCACCGTGGAATTTCGTTAGCCACGGGGTGATACCCCCGATCGATGTAAGGTCGCGCCACACGCTCGCTCGATAAAACGGTTCGTTTCCACGTCGAAGCTGATATCGATCGTTTTGTGGTTGGGTTTCGAGCGTTCGTGCATTCTCTCCTGTACTCGATCCTTCCTTCGTATCGTATATTTGATATACGAGTTAGTAATTGGAAGATCGGTAATTAAATACAGGGCTTCGTATATAACGGATATTTTACGAACGTTATGGAAAATTTTAACAATCTCTTTCGAATTTCTTAGGTTAGGTTGGGCAAGTTGGGATATTACGAAAAAGAATACGATAGATTGGTAGATTTCAGAATATTGAAAATTTTTCAGAGGGGGGATATTGTAAAAGTTGTTGCGCGTGGAAATATTGCGGAATATTGCTTAAGCGATATTAATCAATGTGCAAATACAAATATAATATTTCTCGTGGCCGTTTCACGTATTCGCTATTGAAAAGAATTTTGTTTTATTATCCAGGTTATTCCGTTTTTAATAAATTTCTATCGATTCGATGATTTCCGGAAATGGAAATAATTTCCAAGAATTTAATTTTTCTTCGTAATCACTTTAAAAACTGTGAATTCAGTTATTCAAAGTGGCAAAACCTTTATCGAAAAAGGTTCCGGGATCAAAGGATAGAATCGGTTTACCTCGGTATTTGAATGGCGCAGGGTATTTGAATATTACAGCGTGAATTTCTCTATGATCCCCTGGGACTCCTCCGCTAATTTATGACACTCTAGATCGATGCAGTCGCGGGAAATTCAGGTCGTGGCCCTCTTTATCTTTCATTATTAACGATTCCCTTCCCTCTAGTTAATTGTATTTTTGTAATCTCGAATATTGTTTCTTTAACGATCCACAGATTTTTACACAAATTCGAACGATTCCTTCGATTTCTTATTATATATACATTTGTCTTAACACCATTCTTTTATTTTTAAATTACCAATTTTTAAATTATACATAAAAATGATAAATCAATTTTATCCCTCTCGATTTGATTTTAATCGAAATGCAAAATTCATAATGCTACGCATGAAAATTAATTAACAAAAGTATATATATATATTTTTCGAATCGAATTTCTTTATTCTAATCTATTTCTATTCTTTTTATTCGCGCAGGTCTGACAAAACGGATCCCAAAGGCATGGCCAGCAGCACGGAGGATTACGGGTCGGAATTACAGGAGCTGCAGTGGGGTGGGGGCGGGGGGTCCCACTTCCTGCGTAGCGGTTCCCACTTCCTGAGGAGCGGTACCGGCGGTTGTTACGAAGCCGAGGATTTGGAGCCGACGAGCAGGCACCATGGCAGCCAGCACAGGGGATATTACAGCCCTCCCGGCACGAGTTACACGATCGTCGAGAGGCCGCCGAGTGCCCCGCACCACCATTCGTCCCACACCACCCCGTACAGGCACAGGGGGCACGCCACAGCAGGATCTGGCGCCATCTCACCTGAACAGGTGCTTAGGTAAGCATTCCATCCATGGTTTCCTTCCTAACTTTCTCGTATTTACGTGAAAATTTTTATATATCGAATAGTTGTAACAGAGAAGAACGTGGAGCTATTTTGGGGATTGTGAAATTGCGTTCTTAAAGAAATATCGTATTGAATTGTAAGAAATAATTCGAGTTTTATTAGACAGAAGTAAGTAGTTGTAGTAATATTGTTTCGTCGTGTTAAAACGTAGATATCGATGGAATATCCGATTAAACAGTTAAGGGAAATGTTGGTGAATTGATCAACCCGAACAACTTAGAAATTCATTGAATAATCGATCCGTTTAATTATAAAACACACGAGTTCAGTTAATTTCAAATCCGAAGCAATTCTTACAAAATACTCTACGAATCAATTACCCTACTGATCAAATAATTCAATATTCAATATTCAACGTGCATAAGAATATCTCACAAACATGCTCAAAATTTCAAAAGTCGCATTGTGATTTTTAAAAAAACTGAGATAAAAACGTAATAAAGAAAGCTGCGAGTGACACGCTTTACGAAAAAAAAAAAAGGAAAAAAGATTGACATTTGCAATTTCTGCTTCGTCAGACTTTTCGGAAACGGTGTTTCGGAGCGTCGACAGGGGGACAGGAGGACACCGGCCTCCTCGCCTGCGAGCGTTGCCGCGGTGAGAAGCACACCATCCTCGACGTCCCAGCAACAGCAGCAGTCGCAGCAATCTCAGCAATCGCAGCCGAACCCGACCAATCCCCCGACCTCGCCGAGTTCCCAGCCCCTCAGCCTTCAGGAACTCACCGTAAGGACAATCACCATGACGAGAGATCCACCGGACTCTCATGGCTTTGGGATCTGCGTGAAGGGTGGCAAGGACGCAGGTGAGATCCGAAGTACCTTCAGGCTACCTCCATCGCCGTACTTCGCGCCTCAAGATCGAGGTATCTTCCGAAACTTGTGACTTTCATTGCCGTTCGTTGCTCGCCGTTCGTTGCTCGCAGCCGTGGTGCTCGATTCTCATCGAATTGCGATTCGTTGCGAACTTAATCGGGAGTAAGATTGTTATAATTGTCTCGTTTCTTGCCTCGTTCTTCTTTTAATAATTTTTCGCTATATTTTGTACTTTTATTCCGTTTTATATGGTTAACGTAACGATCAGTATCATTATAATATATAATTTTATAAATATTACTACGTTTAATTAATAATAATGTTAATTATAGAGTTAGAGTTCATTTTTATCGAGATTTTGAAACTTGTTAAATTTTTTAAATTGTTTATCGTTTGAATTTATTTCTACGAATCTCTCGATATGACAAGTAAAATGTTTCTTCGTTGACTTGAATCGTTGATTTCAAAGATTTGATCTTTTTTTTTGAAGTTAAGATTAAATTTATACGAAACGAAATCGCAATCGATATTTTCACACCACGACGCGATCTTCTCTATCGTGTATTTCTAAGCAGATTCAGTCCTTGTTTCGCTGCCAATAGCGTCACCGACACCCTGTGCTTCCTGTGCTTCAGCACAGCTGTCACGTGTCTCTCATTCTCACCGTCTTTCCATTCTCGTGACGAATCCTTCCATCAAACGAAAGAATTCCGTGCGTTATATACAGAAAAGCAGTATAAATTTTACGATGTTATTAAACTCAAGCTTTTTCTTTTTCTTCTTTTTTTAACGTAACTTGAAATTTAAATAATATTTTTATCCCGATGAACATTGTCCGCCGAAAATAAAGCTTTTTTTATTATATTTATTATTTTTATCAACGAGCAACGATATGAAATTTTTAATTTTTTTTTTAAATTCGACTTTTTTTTTTACTCTTCGTTAAATTCTAGAATGAAAAAATACGATGAAATGAAAAATAATTTAAGTAAAGATAAATTGTCGATCGAAATCATTGAATAAATTCGGCGGAGAACGAATTTGTTTTCGTTTTGAAAATTGTTTTCGTTCGGAAGATTATCGTCGCTAGAACGGGAACCGAAAGGCAGGGAATGGTGGGGAGAAAACATGTTTTCGATCATTAAATGTCGTTTCCATTCCAGTTACGGCCTCCGGTGCGAAAGGACGTATTACATTCGGATCGCGTTTCGCCTCGATTTTTTCCCTTCTTCTCATCGTCTCGTTGTATTTTTTATCGTTATACGGGAAGAAAGTCACCATTCGTTCAATCGATCGATGACCAGTACGATTTTTCGAACGAAAAAAAAAAGAGGATAAATAATAATTAAAATTATCGCGATTGTTTTTCTCTAATCATTTATTTTTTTTTCTTTTTACGACGTTGGTTTTATAATTTATACTAGACTTCTCTGGAAAACGTGGAAATATCGAAGAAAAGAGAAGTATATTGACTGTTCTTTCTTCCTATATTAATATTTTTCAAATTTTATTTTCCTTTATATACCATAACTTTTCTAAATTATAATTTTACGTATCATCATTTACGTAATTACAATTCAAAAAATAATCCTCAAGTGTCCCATCTACGCTTTTCTCTCCAAATCAACAATTCTATACCGTGAAGCTTTCAAAGAAATCAGTAATCTAACACGAATCACGATCAAATATATTATAATAGATTATAATAGACGAAGGAATTGTTCTTCGATTAACAAAAAGCGCGCGATCGCATATTGGGGGTGCAATCAATTCGTGGCGCGAATATCCCCTTTTTCGGTGTAATTAGCGACTAATTGACCACCTCGTGTTTAATGACGCGCTTCTAATTGCCTCCAGTCCTCGCGCATATTTTTCTTCCGCGTTGCTTCGTCGTGAAACGGATTAAATAATCGCGCGTGATGTATCCGCGATCGATTCGATCAAATCGTATCGTTTTTTCGCTCCTCTCGTGAATTTGTATTGAAAATTATAAAAAAGAAATCGTGGAAAGAAATCGATTAAAAAATGTTTGTTTTGCGATTTTATATAAACCAATGCGGTGAATAGTATATATATATACAGTGAAACAGGTTGATTTTAGAGATTAGGTTGATTTTAGAGATTGCTTTTTTAAATTCAAAGATAGAGGGAGCGAGATAGAGTTTTATTTAACGTGAATTTAAATAATAATTTATGATCCAGTAAATAAGTTTCGATAAAATATTTTTTATGTTATATGAATTTTTGTGTCTTTTCGATCGATAGAATCGTTTCATGAATATATTAGTGGTCTGCGTACATATTCGTGTTTTGAATACAACAATTCTCGAGAGGAGCTTTAAAAGTTTAAAACTAACTCGTTAAATAATAATTATATCGAGGAATGTTTAGTAATTCGGGGGAAAGAGTTTTACGCTAGAGTTTTTTCATATCATTATCCCCTTTATTTATCGTCTTTTTATATCGGTTGTTTACCAAGTTAAGATAAACAAACACCCAGAGCAATTTATTGTGGCCGATGAAGGGGATAGTTTGTTTCGTTCAGTTGATATCGAGGTATAGAGTTAGTTGAAAAATTGTTATTGGTTTTCATGAAGCTTTATGGATAGATGGAAAAATAAGAGAGAGAGAGAGAATTTCTGAATTTTTCGATTAATTTCCTATCCTCTGATCTTTTGTACATCGATATTATTAATCATCGACATCCACTAATTTCCTAAATTAAAAACTTCCTCTTAAAACATATGTATACGTAAGGGTTGAAAATTAAATTTGAAAATTCATTTATGTGAGTGCAAAAGATATAAAAATATTTTTTTATAATTCGCATTTATAATAACACATCACGATTATCCAATATAATACGAAAATCTGAAAAGAAATCTCTCGTCGCCAATTCTCTCGTGTTACACAAAGAAATAACATTCTATAAATAAGAAAGAAGGAACAGTCATTGCAATAAAAAAAAAAAAGAAAAAAGAAATCGAGAAGGAAAAAAAAAACACACGATCATGGAACGAGTTGGAATTCAAAGTTCGATCGAAAAGAACGGAGAACGTTGGTTTTCCAGAGAAGTTCCTTGCTCGTACTCGAAAGATAAATAGAAATGTCCCCTGTCCGGGATCCACGTTCCGCGGATGCCGGGATGCGCATCCTCGACATGGTCGGGGTCCGGTTTCACGGTTTCGAGTCTCGTAAAATTCACGCTTGATCATGGTATACCGCACACGCACCGTCAACGATCGCTTCATGCTTGATCCTCGTCGAGATCTCGGGCGTGAAACCTTTTCTCTCCTCTTTTTCTTTCGCTTCCCTTTCAAACGTGGAAACGCGCGCGGTTCTTGTGAAATCATCGTGGATCCTGGAGGGGACTGTGCCCTAGCCGGAAACGATACCCGAGGCTGTCTCGTTTCTTTTTTTGTTTCTTCGAAAAATTTTCTTCGAAATTTTTTAATCGCAAAATTATTGAATATTTCACAATGAATTTCTTATTCGAATAAATTTTCAAGGGTTTTTTTTTTTTCATAATATTCAATTGGAAATTTCGATTTTTCAATTTTAAGTCGTAAATTTTATCGAACTTTTTTTCTTCTATAGGATTTATTACACGTACGAGACAGTTGTTTTTTGTAATTATTATTTGGACATTTTGAATGGAAGATTAAAAAAAAAAAAAAACAGAAACGAAAGTCGAAAGATAGAAAAAAGATTGGGATCCGATCGAAATGATCGATGGTTAATTTTCGAAGAGACAACCACGAAGCCTTGGCGTCGTTTCGGGCCGGTCGAAATCGATATAAGCCAACTGGCGGTGTGTCTTTCTTGTTTTCTGTTTCGCTGTACCAGAAGCTCAGTCAGGTAACTCATCAACCATACGAACCGAAAGGCAGAGAGAATGTAAGGAAAGAAATAAAAAAAAAAAAAAAGAAAATGAGCGAAAGAGCGAGTGAAAGAGAAACAGATCGAAAGAAGAGAGAAAGAGAAACATTAGCATTATACAACCCTTCCAAAGAAAAAGAAAAAAAAAAAAAAGAAAAGAATAGTCACAGGAAGATTGAAACGGCTCGAAATTTCGAAATTATAATTAAATTTCGAAAATTTATTTATTTTCCTTTTTTTTATCTCGTCTCATAATTTCCATAATACATTAAAGTTTTTAATACATTCACGATGTAATCCACGAGCCAAGCGAAATTTCACCGACGACGATGCGAGAGATTCTAATTTAATAAAGAACGTAACTCTGATATATTAACGCGTACACGACAACGACGGATACACCAAGTCGGTGAACATTGCAGAGGAGGTTTTATCGTTTCCAGGGACGTCGTTAACGCGAGAAAAAGACCAGATCTGAGAAAGAGAGGGAGGATGCAGGAAAAAAATTCTGAAACACCGATATAAATTACATTAAGCGCGATTAAAGGCACCAACTTCTGCTTTTATCCGGTAATTTTTTTTTAATATATATATATATATTTTTTTTTTCTCTCATTTCGAATGAGAATGGTTGACGATTTATATCCTCGTGAGTCGATGATCGTTAATCGACATGATGATTTATATCTTCGAGTTCGATTGATAAAACACGAATTATGGCGGGGGACGTTCGATTCGATCGTGGTCACCGTTCGAGACGATAAGTTTGTTTAACCCTTGAAGTACCCAAGCTGTGTATTTAGATATGTCTTTGAACTTGGTTTTCAAGAGCGTAGTTAAGGGTTTATAGCGACCCTTCCTTTAATCGAAATAAAATTTCGAAACTTTTTCGAGACGTTCAATATTGGATCGGTACTTCGAGGATTAATCGAACTTCGTATACAATCTTCAACGTATCATTTATCGTGATCGAACGATTTGTCATGTCTTCATTCGATCCTCGTTTTTAAACGTCTTCGACCTTTCGCCTTATCAATCACACGAAGATGCACTTAGGTCTTGAATTATAGTTTAAGACAGTTTGATGGATGTGGAAAGGTTGCGTGAAAAAGAGTATAAAAACGTAATTTTTTCTTTCATCTTTCTTTTTCTTTCCAAATTATCTTACGCA